ATCATTTCTTAAGTGTTTGGTTGGATTCACCAGTGCAGCCATGTGGCCTGGAATTTTCCCTGTGAAGGGTTGTTAACCAGAGATCCTGTTTCTTTTTTTTTTTTTTTAATTTTTTTTTTCAACGTTTATTTATTTTTGGGACAGAGAGAGACAGAGCATGAACGGGGGAGGGGCAGAGAGAGAGAGGGAGACACAGAATCGGAAACAGGCTCCAGGTTCTGAGCCATCAGCCCAGAGCCCGACGCGGGGCTCGAACTCACAGACCGCGAGATCGTGACCTGGCTGAAGTCGGATGCTCAACCGACTGCGCCACCCAGGCGCCCCGAGATCCTGTTTCTTTAATGGACACAGATCTGTCATCTTTTACTTCTTGAATGAAAGCACTTTCGTTACTTTCTATCATTCGAGATATTTGCTTGTTCTTCAGTTGTCTAATTGACTGATGTGATGTTGCCTTATTATCCTTTTGATATCTGTAGAAACTGTAGCAAGGCCACATCTCCCATTCTCGACATTAGTAGTTTGTGCCTTCTCTCTGCCTTTCCTATCAGTCATTCTTAGAGATTTATCGAAGAACCAACTTTTGGCTTCATGGGTCTTCTCTATTGTTTTTCCTTTTCTATTCCATTGATTTCTGCTTTTATGTTCCTTAGTTCCTTTCTGTTATTTATTAGTTAATTTGCTCTTTTTTTTTTCTTATTTCTTAAGGTGGAAGCTGAGATCGTTGATTTGAGACCTCTGTTGTCTTCTAATCTAGGCATTTAATGCTATAAGTTCCCTCCTCTGTCCTTCTTCAGGGATTTCACAAACCTGGATATGTTGTGTTTCATTTTCATTCACTTAAAAACACTTTCTAGTTTCCATCTTGAGTTTTTCTTTGACCATAGGTTATTTGGAGCTTTATCGTGGAGGTTCAGAATATTTGGGAATTTTCCAGATAATCTTTCTGTATGGACTTCTAAGTTAATGCCATTGTGTCAGAGAACATACTTTGACGTGAATCTTTTAACATTTATTTAGACTTGGCTTCTGGACCAGAATATGATCTATCTCAGGAAACGTTTTCTGTGTATTTCAAAAGAATATCATTCTCCCATTGCTGGGCTGAGTGTTCTATAAATGTCAAGTACAACAAGCTGGTTGGCAGTGTTGTTCAAGTTTTCCTTGTCCTTACTGGTTTTCTGTCTACTTGTTGTAGCGATTATTGAGAGAGGGTTATTTGAAACCTACACCTGTAATTATGGGCTCGCTTATTCTTGTAGTTCTCTCAGATTTTGCTTCATGTATTTGAACTTCTCTTATTGAATGCATAAATATTTTTGATTGTTAGAACCTCTTGCTCAATCGTCCTTTTCATGAAATGTTCCTGTTTGCTTGTCTTCACATTTTTCGTCTTAAGTTTCTTTCATTTAACATCGATAGAACCACTTTAGCTCTCTTACGGCCACTGTTTGTGTGGTATAGCCTTTCCCACTTAACGCTTGTAATGGATTTTTTCTTTATATTTGAAGTGCGTTTCTCATAGGTGGCATATAGTTAGGGCTCGCTTGTTTATCCAGTCTGGCATTTTCTTCCTTTCAAATCGGAGTATTCAGACTGTTTACGTTTAATGTGACTATTGACGTGGTTTGATCCAGATTATCATTTTCCTATAGATTTTCTCTTCAACTTGTCTGTTCTTTTTTTTCCTTGACTTTTTTACCTGCCTTTTTTGGACTTACAGAGTATTTTTAATAATTTTACTTTGTAGGGGCGCCTGGGTGGCTCAGTCGGTTAAGCGTCCGACTTCAGCTCAGGTCACGATCTCACGGTCCATGAGTTCGAGCCCCGCGTCGGACTCTGGGCTGATGGCTCAGAGCCTGGACCCTGCTTCCAATTCTGTGTCTCCCTCTCTCTCTGCCCCTCCCCCGTTCATGCTCTGTCTCTCTCTGTCTCAAAAATAAATAAATGTTAAAAAAAATAATAATAATTTTACTTTGTATCCTCTGGCTTATTAGCTATGATTACTCACTATTTCCTGATTGCCCTAGGGTTTATAGTATACACCTTTAAGTGATTACAGTCTTCTTCCACGTGATCTTATAGCACTTCCTGTATGTAATAAGAACCCTACAGCACGGCCCTTGTGTATTTCTTCACCTCTAAACTCTGTGCTATTGCCAAACTTTTAAATTTTGCACATGTTCTCACCCACACATTACACTGTCATTATTTTTGCTTTAGCAGGTCAATTATCAGTCAAAGAGATTTAAATGGGGAAAAATGTATATTTATTGGTCAAGTTATCATTCCATTTCCACAGCTCTTCATTTTGTGGGTTTGCTTTTGGTGAAATTTTTTTTTTTTTTGAGAGAGAGAGAGAGAGAGAGAGAGAGCACGCATGAGCCAGGGAGGGACAGGAGAAGGGAGAGAGGATCTCAGGCAGGCTCCATGCTCACTGCATACCCTGATGCAGGGCTCAGTCCCACGACCATGAGATCATGACTTGAGCCAAAGTCAAGAGTCTGACCCCCACCGACTGAGCCACCCAGGCGCTGCCCCTCTTTCAGCTTTTTTAAGTCCGGAAAAGCCTTCATGTCCCTTTTATCTTGGGATGAGACTTTCGTTGGACGTATAATTTCAGGGTGACAGTTTCCAGCACTTTAGAAATGTTGCTGCACAGTCTTCTCACCTGTACGATTTCCAACAAGAAGTTTGCCATCGTCCTTGTCTTTGGTCCTTTATATATAATCTGCTTTCCTCCCCTGACTGTTTTTAAGGTTTTTCTCCTTATCACCAGTTTTAAGCAGTTTGATTATGATGCACCTCAGTATAGTTTTCTTCATGTGTCTTGTGATTGGGGCTCATGGAGCTTCTTGGATCTGTGGGTTTATAGTTTTCATCAAATTTGGGGAGGTTTTGGCCATTATTTCTTAAAATATTTTACCTGTGCCCCCTTTTGTGTCTTCTCCTTTGGAGACTCCAATGATATACCTATTAGAACACTTAAAATGGTCCTACAGCTCTTTTTTCTAAGATTTTGTTTTTATTTTTAAATTTTCTCTCTGTTTCATTTCGGAGAGTTTCAGTTACTTTATCTTCAAATCTATAAGTCCTTCTGTAATGTCTAATCTGCCATTTAATTCAGTGTATTTTTCAGCTCACACATTGTAGTTTTCAACTCCGCGCAGATGCAGTTTATGTCTTGTTTAATATATCCCACATCTCTACTCAACTTTTTAAACAGTTGAAACCCTGCCATAACTGTTTTGATGTCCTTCACTGTCAATTCTAATGTCTCTACCAGTCGGTTCTTCTTGGTTTCAATTATTCCTTCATTATGAGTCTCATTTTCTTGCTCCGTTGCATGCCTGCTTATTTTTGATAGATTCTGGACATTTTGCATTTTGTAAATGTCCTTAAGCATCGTTTTGGGATGTAGTTATTTGTAAACAGGTAGACCCTTTCTGGTCTTGCTTTTAAGATTTGGTACGTGGGACCTGGTTACTGCTTATCTGGGGCTAAGCGTTCTCCACTAGTGAAGTGAGACTCTCCTAGGTCCCCCACCTGGAGCCTGTGAATCTTGAGGCTTCCAGTCTGGCTGTTGGGAACAGGCACTGTTCCTGGCCTCATGTGAGTGCCATGTGCTATTACCTCCAATCTTTCCAGGTGGTTAGCTCTCCAGCCACGCGGTTCCCTCACATGCCTGTGCTGACCAGTACTCAGTTCGGTATTTGAGGGAGGACCCCTGCAGACCCCAACTTCCCTTCTCTCCAGTACTCTGTGCTTCTAGCAGTTGCCACATTGGTCTCCCTGGACTCTCGCTCCTTCTCCTTGATGGAGGTAGTCTACCACATTCCGCCCGAGTACCCTGTCCCTGGGGCACAGCCTGGAAACACTCTCAAGGCAGTAAGCTGGGACACAGGTAGTGCTCCCTTGTTTGTTTCCCTCCTCCCAGGGATCACTGGCCTTTACTGCCTGATGTCTGGTGTCTTACAAACAGTTGTGTTATACATTTTGTTTGTTTTTATGTAAGGCGATCAGTCTGGTCCCTGTTACTTCACCTATGCCAGAAGCAATGAGCAAGTTGCTTAACTTCTCTGAACTTCTGCTTCCTTACTTATATATATCCATATATAATATAATATAATATAATATAATATAATATAATATAATATATATTATCTTTATTTATAGCTTACTTATTTCTTTTCAGAGAGAGAGAGGGCAAGCGAGTATGAGCGGGGTAGGAGGAGAGAGAGAGGAAGAGAGAATTATAAGCTCCACACTGACATAGCACAGAGCCCAATGCGGGGCTCGAACTCAAGAACCTGTGAGATCATGACCTGAGACGACATTAAGAGTCAGACGCTTAACTGGCTGAGCCATCCAGGCGCCCCTTTCTCATCTACATTTTAAAAAGGACAAGAGTCTTCAGCGTATGGTTTTGGTGTGGGAACTGAATGAGACCGATGTTTGTACAGCACCCAGCACTTGGCAGATACTCAGGAAATACTGGGTCTTTCCCTGTCTCAATGCCTTGTTGTTACTTCTTCCTGATTTTACCCCGGGTTATCAGCCCGATTCCTGGCTGAGCTTTAGGTCAGGGTCTTCATGCTGATCAACCAAAGCACGTGATCACTCCTGGGCTATTTAGATGCGATTCGGTCAGTTTCAGAGCTCTGCTATCCAGAGGACATGTAAGTGAAACCTTATTGTCGTCTTACTGGACGTTTGCCTTCTCTGAAATCTCCAGTGCAACCTACCGGAATTATTCACTTGTCACAGGAGGAATGTCAGTAGGTTTTAGGTCAGCGATGTGTGGCGGGCAGAATTTAAGAGGACCACGCTATTTGCAACCTAGCTGGATTTTGTTGGGGTTTCCTGCTAAGTCGCGGACATCGACCTGTTGCTTCTTCTTTTCTTTTTCCCTCTGAGTTCCCAAAGAGCTCTGGCGCTTACCAGACGAGTGTTTGCCAGACAGAACCTAACCACTTTTCTCTTCTCTTGTCTCGTGTCAGTGTCTGGAGGCCGCAGCCGCCTGCACCTCATTGATCTCGGCAGCTGTGTGAAAGCTCTTAGCAAGAATCGGGAAGGAGGATCAGGGCTATGCCTCTCGCTGTCTGCGCTGGGCAATGTCATCCTGGCTCTTGTCAACGGCAGCAAACACATCCCTTACAAGTAAGTGACCTTCTGCTGGATGAATGGAATGGGGTCAGCATGGTGCCGGGGCTGGGTGTGGGACTCTTGGTCCAGTGACCTCTCGGGAGAGGCACACTACAGCCCGACCGTCTGGGTGGACCACATTGTCAGCTCAGTGCCCAAACCAGCCTTTGCTAACGAGCGCGTATCGCGTCATCTTCCAAATTCAGAAGCTGTGAAAATACTTAAATTACTCTAATCCTGACAATCAAGTCAGATAATCGGGAACTGTCTCAGTTGGGGTCTCTGATCACAATGGCCATGGCTAGATTGTGGCCACCATCACACAGATGCCTCATAGTGATGAAAGCAAAGGGCAGAAGATTGAACTACCCTTCCCTTCGGAGTAGGGCTATCATATCTAACCAATAACAATACAGGATTCCCAGGAAAATTTGAATTTGAGATAAAAAACAGATAATTTTTTAGTGTAAGTGTGCCCCCCCCCCCCCCAGTAATGCATGCAAAGCCTGTATTTTTATCTGGTAGCCCTACGTAGGAGAGCTCCTAAAGCTTGGGGAATTGCCACCCACCTCCCATGCAAATGTTGACTCCACTTCCAAGATCCTTTCCCTCTTCCCATGATGCTCCACAAGGAGGAAATTAGAGCCTCTCCTATGTCTGGAATAGCCAAAGACTGGCCATGTCCTCCGTGCCCATATATGATCCAACCCTGGAGCTACTTGTCACCACTGTCACCCAATTCAGCTTTGCCCTTGGACAACATGGCGATGGTGGTGGGTGCTCTCTGCCTGTTCGGGCCCCCGCCAGGGTCCAGCTGCTTCTCTCACTGCCATCTGAACCTTCACTCACCATAAACTGATGGTTCTAGATGAATTCTTAACCTGCGTCACAAGGATACGAGCCTCAGAATGGTATGCGTGTGAAAGTTTTTTTGTAAAATTGAGAACGCTGTGGCCAATAATTAACGACAATCATCTGGTTGAGCTTAAGCAAATGTATGTGAATCATTTTTTTTTTTTAATCTGTAAAATCATGCGTAATGTAAGTCACTGTTGTGTGGGAGGAAAAAGGTAAGTCAGGCCATTTGTTCGACAATGAGTGAGATTCGGGATGAGTTCTCGTGTCTTCCTTCTTCTCTGCCCTAAAGTGATGTCGGCACCATGATTTAATTCTGCACCTGGGGGACCATTCGTAGACTGACTTTAGGAGTTTAAGTAGCAGGTATAATCCAAGGTGGGATAAACCCAGAAATGGTTTTCGCAGCCCTTGTGAGGACCATTTTCCCGGAGAAAAAATTTCAAGTTGAAGGTTTATAAAGTTTCATTTGGTGTCACTTCTGCAGTTGAATAAACTTGACTTGTAATGACGAGAAAAGAAAGAGTGGGGACACCTGGGTGGCTCAGTCGGTTAAGCATCCGGCTTTGGCTCAGGTCATGATCTTGCGGTCTGTGGGTTCGAGCCCCACGTCCCGCTCTGTGCTGACGGCTCGGAACCTGGAGCCTGCTTTGGATTCTGCGTCTCCTTCTCGCTCTGCCCCTCCCCTAGTTGCACTCTGTCTCTAACAGTAAAAAAACATTTAAAAGAATTTTTTAAAAAAGAAAGGCAGGAAGGAAGGGCTGGACGGAGGGAGAGAAAAGGGTAAAAAGAAAGGTCTGGACTGGTACTATCAGTGTTGCAGACCTGAGAAAGAAAGGGTGGGTACTGGCCTCAGTTGCCTTCCCTGTCCGCACAAAGGGAAACAGGTCTGTTAAGGTGACAATAGATCATGATGTAAGTAAAATCCAAAACACCATCTTATGCGGTCACTGATTACGTATTTTACTTCTGTATCTCTCACGTCGTTTCTGTCGAGTCACATGCTTTTAGGATTTCAGTAAATATTTGTTGAATCAGTGAGTGTAAGCAGGGAAATCACTTCTACTTCCGATAAAGTAACTTCCCGTTGGTTAAAGTTAATTCTGTTGTAAACATGTAGGGAAACATCAAGGATTGTGTTTATTAATCGCTCAAGGGCACTTGTCCAATTAAACGGAAGGTAACACGGGGCAGTCTTCATGACCAGCCGCCTGCCCCCTTGGGAGGGCTGACAGAGTATGAAACCTCCACCCCCTTCCCTGCAGACATGTGTCTGCTTCAGTTCCCTATTTCTTCCTTCCATGCTAGCTGCGTGGGAGTGATGATTATGTTGTTTGGGCGTCTGAAGTAAGCACAGACTCAACATAAGTTCGGTGTCTGCTCGAGACCTAGAGTGGTCCCACCGTGGGGACCCTCCTGGAGATGGGGTGCTGGGAAACGTGGTGGCCGAGCCGTCAGGCCAGCTCCATCCTTCCCAAAACCCTCATCTGCCCGTGACTTGTCCCACCCAGTCCTACCATCCCCCTACTCCTTCAGGCCCATCTTAGAGTAAGAGCCTAAAAAGACCCTTGCTGTAATAGTGTCTCTGTCTCAGCCACAGCACACGTTCAGTATATGGCATCTGCAAATCACATTGGCAAGGTGATTCATCAACCAGAAACTATCCTTTTTCAAGGTACGGGAAAAGAAGGCAAAGATTTACTCAGATCTCCCAGCCAGTTGGGGGAGGGGGGGCGACTGCGTCACTTTTTAGGGCTCAGGGACCTTGGTTCTGAGCCCAAGCCGCCCATCCGTCCTCTCCCCCAGCCTCATCAGGCTCTGTAATATATTAGCTGCCTTTGCTCCGCACAGCATGGGGTGCTCAGCACAGCGGGAGGGCCCAGATTTCCTTTATCAATTCAGTCAAGGCTCTAAAGCCACATTCTGCAGCATTTTGTTAGCATACTAAACACCTTTCTGCAGTCAGCCTCATCTTTGCGAGAGAGGGAGGGAGGGGAGGTTGTCTGCCCTTCTGGTTTTCTCTCTTTCTTGCTCACAGCAAAAAGCAGAAACCCAAACTCCGCATTCGGCACCCGTCTGCAACACACGCACAGCAACCCGGTACCTCGTCGTTTGTCACCCTAGACAAGTCTACGCTTGGAACCTGCATTACTTGCGTTTGCTTCTGGGAAATTAACCGGAATGTGCACAGTGGGGATATAGCCTGTCCTCGTGTGTTGTCATCCCTGTATCAGATGATTTGTCACGTGAGCGAGCTGGAATGTGAATTTGGATGCATTACCCATCCCAGGCGCTCCCGTGGGCACCTTAGGTGTGCCCCGGATGGTTTTGACTTTGCAAATGATACTGCCTTTGTAGATGTCAGAACGGCGTGCAGCGGGTTCCCAGCCTCAGCCGTTAACACGGCACAGGCCTGCTGGCCACCCCAAGTGCTATAAATCAACCCTAAGTGGTGACGCCATTCAGAAAAGCATGCAGGGAAGGCAGGGAGAGGCCAGCAGCTCCAGACCCCTATTCAGTTCTGCACAGATTACTCCCTAACTTTGGGGGACTCTCGTCTCAGGAAATCTGTTGCAGTCTGAGCATCTTGACGATGCGTTTGCAAGTTTTCTCCCCATGTTCGTTGCAGCTGTCTTGGGCACCAAGGTCATAGGGGTCTTCCCATTTGGTAGATGAGAAAACATAGGCAGAGGCGTTGAAACGAATTCCCCTGCCAAAGCCAACATTGCAGACACACGCCTCTAGATTTGGCCCCCAGAAGGGCGACCACACAGATCTGTGGATCTGTCAGTGTGAACTTGGCTTTGGCTAAAGCGTTATTATGTCCCAGCTGATCTGTAGGGCCAGTCTTTCCAGAGACTTGGAAATTCTTTTTTTTTTTTTTAATTCTTTTTAATTGTTTGTTTATTTTTGAGAATGAGAGAGACAGAGCGTGAGCAGGGGAGGGACAGAGAGCGAGAGGGAGACACAGAATCCGAAGCAGCTCTAGGCTCCGAGCTGTCAGCACAGAGCCCGATGCGGGGCTCGAACTCGTGAACCGTGAGATCACAGCCTGAACCGAATTCAGATGCTTAACCTACTGAGCCACCCAGGCGCTCCGAGACTTGGGAATTCTGATCACCACCCAGTGTCTCAAAATAGAATTTTTGGTCCCTTTTAGATGTGGTCCTGTGAGGGGTACAAACCCTTAGGAAGCTTACCCGCCACACAGCTCTGCTTCAAGCCCTGAAGCGTCCACCTTCATCCTCAATTGTTACCCCGTTTGGAGAAGTAACTATGTAATAGGCCGAATGTCTATTTGTGTCTTAGCCAACAAGATGCTTGTACTGTGTTTCCAGACACGAGGTGTTTTATAATATCTTGGTTTCCATTCAATACAAGAGGTCACGGAACATCTTCTGTGACTCCCTCACGTTGCACGTGAGACTCTCTTCTGAGTCCGCTCGAGACCCGGCTCTGTGTTACGATCCCGGGAAAGAAGTGATGCCCGATGCCTTTCTTCAACGGGTTTGGCCTGTGGTTCAGGCCAAGACTTCCTCCTGGTTTCTCCGCATCGCTCACCGACGCGTCTAGGGCTCAGGCATCACCAAGCCTCCCCCTTCTCTGTGGTAAAGCTGCTGGGAGAGACGGGAGGAGCCTGAGGCAGGCGTTATCAGCTTCCGACCGCAAGGACCGCAGGGGCCTCCACTCCACACAAGCAGTAAGGAGCCCGCCATCAGGGTCTGGAATGGGAGCACTTTTCCTCAAAGGCCCCGGTGAGGTCAGGAACCAAGGTCATTACTCAGAACGTGCCATCGTTTGAGCAGTTCATTCAGGCCAATGAGCAGCCCTTGGAAGCTTACATTCAAGTCAGTGACTTGTGGAGAAATGACGTTTTGTACACAGAGGCAGCTTTTCCAAAATGCCCACACCTCTTTGCTGAAATGCATAAGGCCTTTCCAGGACATGCATCCCTGACGGAGATGCTTTGAGAGAGATTTCCTCCGAGTAGCCGTTTAGAGGGTCTCCACTTGCCCCAAACTGGAGACCCACTCGTGTCTGGGAGGGGGAAGGGGCCGTGGATTGAGATTAGTACAATACTATTTCCCCTGGTGACCCAGGAGACGAAAGTTTGTTCGAATAGATATTATTTACGCTTAATATACAACTAAATAGATATT